TTTAAAATTGGGGATTAATTATCTTTTTATTTTGCCAAGTATGGACATTTTACAATAATAATAATAAAACTATTATCTCTTTTACTATCCTTTCATAAGATAATAGACCCTTTAACACCAGCAAAGTAGGAAGTGTATGATCAGAGAATAAAGGACAGACTTTTCAGAAAAAGAATCATTGGTACATTGGATAAGGATCTTTGTTTTATACTATATAGTCCCTCTCTGGCTAGTTTAAGCACAAACAATATCTTATGGAGCCAATGGAGCCTAGATAGTTTATAACTCACTGGAAGGGCTAAAGGAATATACTCTAAGCTGAGCTTTCAGTTCCCCAAACCACACATCATATAACTTCCCACTCAGGAAGCTGCTGCTGCAGCTGCTAGCTCCTAGACCACTCCAGCTGCTCAAGGAAAACACCATCCTCAGGCCCTGTTCAACTCCCCACATTATTCAGTTCCAAATCAAAGTCCTGCGTGAGTTCAGCTGGTTGGCAGAACCTAAACATATCCAGATCCCCATCTGCCAAGCAGGCTGGGAAACACAGTTTTAGTTCAGCCCCTATGGTACAGGAAGGCACATGGAGCTGGAGAAGGCATTGAGTAAACCAATTCACCACTGTTGGTGAGCTTTTGTGTGTATGTATTGTCTTAGTTCATTTTAGCTGCCATAACAAAAATACCACAGTCTGGGTAGCTGATAAACAACAGAGATTTAATTCTCAGAGTATGTATGCATTGTCTTTGTTTATTTTAGCTGCTATAACAAAAATATCATAGATTGGGTAGCTGGAGCAACAGAAATTTAATTCTCAGAGTAGGTATGTATTGTCTTAGTTCATTTTACATTTTAGCTGCTATAACAAAAATACCAGAGATTGGGTACCTGATAAACAACAGAAATTTAATCTCAGAATATGTATTGTCTTAGCTTATTTTAGCTGCTATAACAAAAATACCATAGATTGGGTAGCTGATAAAAAACAGAAATTAATTCTCAGAGTTCTGGAGGCTAGAAGTGCAAGATCACAGGGCTGGCATAACCAGTGTCTGACGACGCTCCATTTACTGGTTCATAGATAGCACCTTCTTGCTGTGTCCTCATGTGGTGGAAGGGCTAAGGGAGCCTCTATAGGGGTCTGAATCCCATTCATGAAGGCTCTAACCTTATCATTGGATCACTTCCCAAAATATCCCATCTCTTAATACCATCACTTAGGGCATTAGGATTTCAACATAAAACGAATTTGAGGGAGGTACAAACATTCCGACCATAGCACTTATGAAACATTTCAAGGTCTGAGCCAGGGTTACAGAATCACATTGGGAATCCCGGCATGAGAGCCATCCTGAGGGATGTGTGCAGTCATGCTTTATTGAGAAGAGTCTGAAGGCACCTGCTGAGGACATGACTCTTCTTGAGAAGAGAGTTTGCTACCTGGAGCCACAGCATTGACCATACCCTGACTATAGTGAACATTTATGGCTTCTCATCAGCTTTTAGTAGTTTTTCCATATTTGGGGATATTTGCATATAATGAGTCCTATCTCCCTGATATTGAAGTCAAGGTTTAAGTCAGAGTTCAGAGTTTCCAGACATTTTTGCAGCCAGAATTCAGGCACATGATCTGGGCTCTGACAACTGGATATTCCCACTTGACATTTGATTCGGAAGTGAGTAGCACGAAGAAGCAGGCAGTACATGGAGCTTCCATTTTTGCTGGCATGGATGGCAGCAGAGACCTCATCTTTCTGAGGGGGTGGTGAGGTCTGGTTCCCAACTCAGGAGTGCCTGCAGCAAAGTCAAGTTCCTGATGTCTAGTGCTCAGTAGCAACAACCACAGTGATACCAATTTCCCCCTTTGAACTGGTCCTATAGTACAGGTTAGGGCATCATTCCTGGAAACTTTACCTCAAATCTATTTCCCAGCCCTCCAAATGATTGTTATTCAATTTCTTTTAATAAATCCCATCTTCCTCAACCATCAGATTGTCAGCAGCCAACAACAACCCACTTGAAGTGCTGGCTAAGCCAGGAACACCTGACTCTGAATCTACTGACTCTACACCAGGCTATAGTGTGAGCCATTCCTGCAACAGACAGCGTTGGCCTGTACCTCATTCCCACTTTCCTTCTTGAGTCAGGTGCAAAGAAGGATAGAAGGAAAGTGCCTTTCTCTCTGACTCCCACCATCCCAGGAGCACCTATAGAATAAGAATGCTTTTTCATTGAATTTTTATTACCAACAATTTGTGCAAGGCTTTGCACAGAGAAGGCATTCCACAAATGTCTGATGAATGAAAATGAATGAATGGTCAAGTACACTATAAATTTATTCCCAGCTAGACCCTTAATCCAGAATTGTGCTGTCCACTAACAGTACCCACTAGCCACACATAGCTACTAAGCACTTGAAATGTGGCTAGTGCAAATGAGGAACTCTATTTATTTTATTTCAGTGAACTTAGATTTTAAGACTGATACCTAATTCCATTTTTGGAAAACTTTTAGCTTAACTTGTTCATGCAAATGTACGTTTTCAGCTACTAATTTTATAAAAGCTAAACACAGATCAAATATTTCCTGTAAAAAGTTTTAACACAAATTGAGATATGCTATAATTGTAAAGTACACCAGATTCCAAATACTCAATATGAAAAAAATGTAAAATATACCATTCATATTTTATATTGATATGGAAATGATAATAGTCTGGATATATTATTATAGGTCACCAGCGTGCCATCTCTGCCCAGGTCTGTGGAATGAAAGGAGGGCCCTTGGAGATCCTCTAATATGGTCACCTCATTCCAAGGGTGAGGAGACTGAACCCAAGAAGATGAAAGCTGTTCTGGTTAGCACAAGAGCCAGAGCCAAGTGTTGCTTCCTGACACCCACTGTCATCCTGACACCCACGTGCCATCTTTCAGCATTAGGTGACAGTAAATATATGCCAATTGGGTTTGATTTGCGAAGGGGATGGATCACCTTATAGGAATCACACAACCTGCAAGTACCCCAGGATTTCCAAGCCTCCCTTTGCCAGTACTGGGAACCCATTCTAAGAATTTGAGTGGGAGCCAGAAAGCATCCTGTGCCATCACAGGAATCCCCGTGGCTTCTATTCCAAAAGAACTGAAACTCCTAAAATTATTTGTTCAAGGATAGGAAGAAACACAAAGATGCCTTTGAGTGGCTTGGAGAGCGAGGAAGAGGCCATGTGAGACCATGGAAAAGCAGTGCTAGGGATAAGAGGGAGAAAGATGCTCTTCAAGGTCCAATCCTGAGCCAAGTGAAGGCAGAAAAGGCCCGGGTACCAACCTAGAGTGACTGGCATCCCCTGGTGGGGTGGGAGGACCCACGAGAGGGGTGGGAGAGGACAGGTGGGGCTAGGGAAACAGGGAAGGGACCAGAAGGGCCCACCTCCAACAGCTTGCTTCTAACACAAAGGAAAACCAACCTCCTGATTCATGTGGGCCCTAGACAATTGTCATGCTAGAAACACAATCTACAAAATGCTTCCCTCCAACCTGTCCCCATAGGTATAATTTTACCAAATAAAACCATTCACACCCCCATCTAAATGTACCAATCCGAGCAAAATATAGTTGGTAACAAAGAAAGACAATTTCCTTATTTTATGATTCATAGGCAATCATAGAAAAAGCTTTAATATGTTTAATTAAATACAGAAGCAAATTGCTAGTGTTGCCAGAGAGTTTGCTTGCCTGCCCTTGAACAAATTAACAACACCTGTTTGGAAACAAAAGCATTGCCAGAATTGAGTCCAACCCTGCGTTCTCTTTTCAGGACTCAGTCTATTCATCCCTTTTGTATACAGTGTCTAACACATAGTAGGTGTTGAATAAATATCTGTTAACCGATGGGGTGCTCTTTAATCCCTATCCTTTATTTCCTGACCCTAAAAAACTGGATCTGGATCCCTGGGGAAAACATCCCCACCCTTCCATTCCTAGAGGAACCCAGTCGCTTTCAACAGCCTCTGAAACAAAACTTTGGTTTAGAGACACTTGCCTGAGGGGAATGACTGAAGGCTTCAGAGAGAGAGAAACAAAGACAGGGCACAGCAATGAGGTGGGGGGGCGGGGGGGAAATGATGCCAAAGCGGAGAGTAACAGAATGAGACAGATTCAGAGATGGAGCAACTGCAGGAGATAGGGACAGAAAAATTGAAGCCGAGAGACTTAAAACTCGCGTAGCTGGAGATAAAAGGGTTGGGTGAGAATAGTAATCTTGAAATTTCTTCTCTGCTTTCATGTTTTGTGGGAGATAATGGCAGAGAGAGCGGAAGACAAGGCATGAGCGTAGAGAGATAAAAGGCAGGTAACCGAGACAGAGGGGGTGGGCCAGGTGTGCCGTCCGTCTCCCCGTCGGGCCTGGGGCCCTCCTCCTACCCTGGCCTCAGGCGCAGGGCCCCCTGAAAGCCTCCAGCCCTGCGTGTGCACGCTGTGCTCCTAACCCCAGCCGCCCGCCCCCACCCCACACATCTCCGACCTCTCCGCAGGCCCAACCCTCTCCCGGCATCCCCCACGCGGCGTCCTCGCGGCCGCAGCCCACACTCGGGTCGCGCCGCACGCGTCCCTGCCCGCGGGGTGGCGCGGCGGAGTTCGCCCTGGGCTCAGGGAGCGCGTCCCGTCTCCCGGGACGGCCGTGCCTGTCGCGGCTCCCGGCCCTCCGTCGCGTACTGCGGTATTCCCCGCGACGCCAGCCCAGCGCTGGGTCTTCCGGAGCGTCCGGCAAACACGGCGGCCCGCCCAGTCCCTACGCTGCGCGCGCGGGGCGGCCTGGCGTCCCCCGCCAGCTCCCAGGACGCCGGCCATCTCCTGGGCTCCCGCGCCCCCTGCCGGCCGGGAGGGGACCTGCAGGCAGGCCCGCGTCGGCGGCCGCGGGAGCCCCAGGCGGGGAGGCGGGCGAGGCCTCCGCGGGCTCGCGGGTGGGCCCGGCGCCGTCCGAGGGCTCGGAGGCGGGCGGCAGGCGCAGCCGGGGCCCGCTGCCGCGTTCTCAGGCGCTGGGGCACACCCCCGAGCTCCCTCCGCCCGAGCGCGGCGGCCGCGCGCTCAGAGCTTCTCGTCCAGCTCCAGGCCCTGGTTGTCGCGGCCGCGGGCGGGGGCTGGGCTGCCGGCCCGCGTCCCGCTCAGGTAGTTCTGGATGGCCGAGGCGCAGTCCAGCCGCTCCATGACCGTCATGAGGTAGTGCAGCTCCTGCAGGCTGCCGTTCTGCTCCTCAAACAGCTCCAGGATGGCCGCGGCCGGGCTGCGCTGGCAGGACAGGAACCTGGCGGGGAGGTGAGGAGGAGGAGGAGGAAGCAGCGGGGAGCTCACCCCTGCTCCAGCCCCGCTGGGCTGCAACACACCCACGCCCTGCAGCGCTCCTGTCCTCTTGCTCTAGTCCTCTTCCAGGGGACTGGGGTGGCCCAAGGCCCCAGAACTTTGAAACCTGACATTGTCCTGGCTTAGAGGCTAAGTCCCTGGCCTTATTCCTCCCTAGGCCTCAGTTTCCTCTTACAAAGCTGAGGGCTTAGATGAGAAGACTTCTAAGGTTGCTTCCAGCTCTGGTGATCTGTAATTGCCTTCTCCCCCTCACTCTCCCCAAATACACTCCTTGCCTCACCCTAGCCTCCTAACTGCCTCCCTCCTTCCTCTCTCCCAGACCACATCCTGCCCACCCCCAAGAAAGCAATTGCCCTAAATAAACCATGGCTTTTTATCATAACCCTCCTCTGCCCAAAAACCTTCCAGAGTCCCTTTCGCCTGACTTTCTGGCTCATCCACCTGGTCTTGCCCTGCCTTTCTGACCTTTTCCCTGCTTCTCCCATCCTGAACCTCCTTGCCTCCAGCTTGTCCCTTTCCCGCCTCGCACACACCACACCCACAACCACCCCACCTCACCCACAACCACCCCACCTCCGCCTCCCCCTCAAGCAGAACAGCTGATCGCCCCTTCCCCATCACCTCCTCCTTGGAGCCCTTTCTAATTCCCACCGCCCAGGTGGAAGAGACCCTTCTGCACCTCTCAGTGCAGACTTCTAGCCGCAGCTCCCACAATCCATTAGTATTCTTGCTTCAGCTATTGTATGCCTCCTTTCAGCATGTTACCCAGTATTGGATGCGTACAAGAAGGCACAGGAACGTTCGCTTTTATTTCTCAGGTTCTCTGTACCTCTTGCTAGGGTGTGCACTCCTAGAAGCTGGGACCATGTCTCGTTCGCTTTGTATCCCAGTGCTTATCACAGCCTCCAGGACACAGTAGGCACTTGATAAATGCTTAAATAATTGAATGCTTTTAAAATCCACCCTGTTTTCAGGATCCAGTTCCAGCCCCATCTCCTGAATGACGCCTTCCCGGATCATCGCACTCAGTCGGGGTTCTGGGGCTTAGTGCAGAATTGTCCTCTTACTGATTTCTTCATGGGTTCCTTGACAGGGATCATGGCTGCATTGCCGCCATTATTGCTAACACTGAATTAATATGTGCCAGGTACCCAGGTACATGATTTACACACATTATCCTATAATCTGCCATTCAATTCCTCAGGGCACAGTATGGCAAGCACTCAATATGTACCCCATCATTTGCATGTTAACTGATTCACTGTTAAATATTTATTGAGCACCTACTAGGAGCCAAGCATCATTCCAGTACTAAGGATACAGTGATAAATAGAAAGAGCTGCCTCTTTAAGGGTAAGGAGTAGCCATTGTCTGATTTTAAGTCACTTCCTTCTCTGTGGTCTTGTCTCCAAATTGTCCCAAGAACTCTCTACCCTCCTCTCCCATCCATAGACCTTGCCTCTCTTACCGTATTTTCATGCCACAGAGCCCCAAGTGGGAGGCCAGTCTGCGCCAGTCATTGCCCGTGATGCTATTTGGCTCCAACAACATCTGCAGCTGCTCAAAGAGCTCTGGGGGCAGCCTGAGGTAGGGGGAAAAGGATGTTCTTAGAGGAAAGGACCCAAGAAACCCAGTCTGGTCCTCCCTCCCCACCCCAGCACTATACTCGCCCTGTAAGTGCCAGGGCCGGAATCCCAACATCCCCCAGGCAGCAGCCCAAGCAACCACCATCTCACCTATTGCACGGGGGTGGCTGGGAGACAGGGGGTGGCGCTGCCCAGGGTTCCTCCTCTGATGCTTGGAATCTGAGGATTTCCATGTACTTGGTCTCCAAGCCCTGAGTCAACAGAGAACACACTTAGAGGGCATAAGATATACCCCTGAGTCAGAAGCTGAGTTCCTATATCCATTCCTCATATTTCTCCTTCAGCTTGTCACCCAGAGCCACTTTACCAGGATATATAAGCCCACCTCACCCCGCACCCACTATCTTATGCTTCCCTGATCTCAGAACCCTACTTTCAGCCTAAAGTTTGCCCACTGAGCTCTTTGGAAACTGGGACATGAGGACCACACAGGGTGCATCCTAAGCCACCAGGAGCAGTCCTGGGTGGGTTCGTGGGAGACAGCAGGAGGTCTTCTAGTAGCAGAGACACTGAACTCAGGCATATATGCCCCTGCCCTCCATTCCAACTTTCCCTGGTTCTTCCCCAGTGACAACCTGAGGGTATCTGCCTACCCTCCACCAAGATGCCACTGTGGCTCCCCAAGATGCCACTGTGGCTCCCCAAGTCTCTCAACCCTGACTTCTTCACTTCTTCCTTTGGTGCAGTGGGAGGAGGGGAAGGATACCTGACTCTCATCCCATCCATTCAGTACCACCTCCCCACAATGAATGTACAGAACATCATCCCCCACATGTAGATAATTAGCCTAGAAAGAAACCATTCTCTTTGATGTCCCAGTTCCTCTGAGTTGGGAGAAGGAGTTAAACTAGGGTTTGGTTCTTTAACCTCCTGCTGGAGTCATCCACTGATAGACAAGAAAGAGCCAGGGATGGAGGGTAACCTGGAGGCCGGATGGCCTGAGCCCCCCGAAGAGCTGGAATGGCTGCTCTGTGCAAAGCGCGTCTTCACCTACTTGATGATGTGATTACGGACGTGCTTAAGGGCACCAGACCCCACGCCCACTTTACCCAGGACTCCTCCTAGGTTCTGCCCTTCCTCTGCATCAACTCACATCCTGGTAGGTGTGCATGGTGACTATGATCTCATTGGTTAGTGCCGAGCAGTCCTCGTTCTCATTGGCTACAAAGAGAGGTGAAAATGTGGCCAGTGAGTGAGGAAAAGGTCTGGGATAGGAGCATAAGTCAAGGGACTTGACAGTAAAACCTGGGGAATCTGAAGATGCTGGAGCCAAACATGCCTTTCTCTGTGCAAAGATCTCTGTGGCTCTCGGCCTTCCAAAGAAGGTCTGTTTGCTCGGCTGCCTGAGGCCTGCAGAGTTCCGGGGCCACTAGCAAGGGAGGGGAGGGGAGAGGAGAGGGCAGGAGACACACGGGACTCCTAAGCTACCTGCTTTTCTCCGGAAGCAGAAGGAACGGAAGGGGCACTTTCCATGCCAGATGTGGAGATGGGGGACCAGCTGGCAACTGCTGTCATCCACGTTCTCCCAACCTGGGGAGCAGGCAGAGAGTGGAGGGCCTCAGAGAGTGGAACCTCGCCCAAGTTTTAAGGGGGCTGTAGGGAGGCATGAGCACAGAGCAAAGGCAGGAGCATCTCAAGTGGACAGGAATCCCCAGAGCCTGGTGGGGAGTGTGCTTCTTCCCACACACTCCCTCCACGCACAGCATGAAGATCTCCCCCATTACCCTCCCACCCCCAGAAGCAGCCATGCGTGTGTGTCCTGGCCACACAGCACAGATGCAGTGGGCCCCAAAGCCAATTCTGCAGCCCAGGCCATGAAGGAAAGCGGGCCGAGCACAGAAGCCTGGGAAGGCCTCCTCCCCAAACCAGCTCCACCCAGTGGACAGTAGGGATCTCCCTGTCCCTCCGTGCTCCTTCGGGGTACAACACCTCTCCTCCCCACCTCCCACCTGGCCTCAGCCTGTCCTGGGGTGGGTGGCAGAGGCTGAGCGGGCAGCCGCACGGACAAAGCCTGGGGGCTCCTAGAGACAGCAGTGGAAGCCAGGGCTCTCCTTGAGGCTGCCGCTGGCCCAGGAACCTTGGAAGAAACTTGGGGTTCCCCGATTTTCAGCCCAGGGAGAGGCCCTGAGCTTTCTTTCTTGTGGGGCTCCCTGTGGCCCTATTCCGCAGCCCCCCGCCTCCCTCACCCTCCGAGATGTACTGGAGTTTCAGGCACTGGTCGCCTCTGGCCCCGGTGAAGTCAAAGAGCTGGCAGGGCCCGCGCAGGCGCCCTCCGTGGGGCTGCTCGTTGGTCAGGGCCCACTGCAGGGCGCAGGGCGTGTTGTTCAGGAAGTAGACGCGCAGCTGCAGGTGCGACTGCCCTGGCGCCAGCGGCGAGCAGAACACGGCCAGCTGCAGCCATTTGCGAGCTGCCCGCCCCAAAGGTGCCTCCAGCACACAGGTGTAGAGGCTGCGGAGGGAGACGGTGGCAGGGACCCAAGCTCAGCAGGGCTGAGACCCCAGCACACCTACCACCAGGCTCCTGCTGTGCCAAGGGTCTCCATGGGCACCTTCAGGGAGGCTAGAAGAGCACTTTCAGGGGGTGCATATAGGGAGAAACTGGGGGTGGGTACAAAAAGTGTGTCACAGTGACTGGGGACTGGTGACTGAGGAGGGAGGAGGGCCAGCAGGGGAGACAGGGAAGGTGGGCTCAGGGTCACTGTGTTGAGGAGGGCTCCCGCACATGGCCCTGCACTGCTAGTCCATGGGTGGCAAGGAGACTGGCAGACACAAGACCTGAGATTCTAGAAAGACAAAGAGATGGAGGACAGAGATGGAATCGAGTCTTAGAGAACTGGAAGGGACAAACTGCCCCAGACAGTTTGGGGACAGTCCTAAACAGAGGGACAGGGTAGATAGAGATAATTTTAGAGAGCCAGAGGTGGGAGGGACAGGAGAGATGGGTTGAGGCAGCTGCTTCCAGACAAGCAGAAGCCACAGTGGGTGCACAGTAGTCCTGGGCAGGGCTGGAGTGAGACAAGCCGCCATGGACATTAGAACAGAGGGACACAGGGGGTCAGGGATTTGCAGGCCATCTTGGACAGATAAAGGAGTTCCACACAGAGAGATGAGGAGGAGGCAGACAGAGAGACGGGGTCAGGAAGACAGGCCAATGGGCACGTGCCTACCTGAAGTGGGAGAGGGGGATGTGACACTCATCCCGAGAGGCGTGGGCCCCCGACCGCCCTAGGGGCTTCCAGGCCTTGGCGTCGAGCAGGTTGGTGTTGCTGCTGTAGGTGCGGGCGTGGGTGGGCTGCTGGGCACAGTGTTTGAATGTGAGGGTGCAAGGCTTCAGGAAGGAGGCCCCATGGGGGCCACATGCCACCACAGGGCTTACCAGCCCCTGGGCTCGGGATAGCGACGGGGCGTCTGACAGGTCCCACACCAGGATCAAAGACACGCGCTCCTGCCGGCCCACAGCCACCGCACCTGGGAGGAGGGAGAGCTGAGATGGCCTGGCAGGCAGGCACACCCCTGTCACCGTGGGGGAGGAGGCCGGGCGGGAGCCCGGGAGAGAGGGTGCTCAGCAGGGCACACAGGGAAGCAGAATGCAGCTGTGAGCTGACTTGTAGTGTGACCCTGAGCAAGTCACTCCCCTTGCTTCCAGGGCTGCTGCTAGTCTGCACAGGGCTTTGTGTGACTTTGTGTGACTTGGCAAGAGGTGCTCTTCCTTCCTTTTCCTGGAGAATTGGCGTAGTATACTGATTCGTTAGAACAAGCCACTTTACTTCCACCGGCCAGGAAGTTGTCCTAAATGGTATGCAATATGTCCATCTTTGGAGTCAATAAAGCTATACTAGAAACATAAACAATCTTATAAAATTATAAAGATGTCTGTGAAGAATGCTTCCTGGTATATGGTGTCCTAATGTGCAGCATGAACAACTGTATGCTGAGAAGGGAGCTGGGGAGCCGTTACCTGGTGGGATGAGCAGGGAGATGCCCGTATCCTGGAGCATCAGGCAGCCACCCCGGTGATCCACCTCTCGAGCCGAAAACACCAGCAGCTTGTGCATCAGCTGACGGATGACAGTCTGGCCTTGAGTGGGTGTGTGCAGCTCCTGGTAGAAGGCAGCCATCTCTGGCAGCGTGGCTGGCAGGCCCTGCCTTGGGGCCTCATTTTCTGGCAGGGGGACAGGTTGGGACTCTAGCTCCTGTTGGCCATCTGGCTTCCTGCTGATCCCCAGCCGCCATCTAGGACAGTGCCATCGAAGGCACTGGGCCAGAAGGAGGACACTTGCCACTGGGACCCCCACCAGCAGTAGGAACTGAGAAGGTTGGAAGGAACTCTCCTGGGGGCACATCTGCCTGGTCACTGGGTGCTGCTGGCTCTCCTGCACCTCTGTGCCAGCCAAAGCCAAGGGCCTGGGGGATAGAAGGGGTCAGAGCCAGGTTAAGCCTTTTCAGGTTGTAGAGGTCAAGACTTGGCTTCCATGTGACGGCAGTAAGGATTAAGTTGTCTTCATTCCAGCGCGCCCTGCACACCCCAGTCTCATCAATTCCTTTAACAAAACTTCACCACCACCCCCTCGCTCTCTCACTCAAGAACCTGCCATGACTCTCCATGACCTAGTATAGTACATAAAGGTAAGCTCCCCTGAGGCAGAAAGAGCTTGGGTTTTGAGTTCGAGGACATGAGTTCAAATCCCGCCTTGGTCACTGTGGCTGGGTAAACTTGTCATATTGCTTAAGGTACCTCGATTTCCCTCATCTGTCAGAATATCCACCTTGATCTACATGTGCTGATATAGAAAAATCTGTAAGGGGAAAAAGCAAGTCACAGACAGATCTTTTGATCTCAAACATCCTCATTAATATGAAAAACAAAACTCTTTATAAGTATAGATACATATTTATGGGTACATACATGTAAATGTAAATGTATAGAGAAAGATCTGGAGCAGTGGTATACAATAAAAATATAATGCAAGCCACATATGTAATTTTAAATTTCCTAGTGGCCGTATTGAAAAAGAAAAAAACAAGAGAAGTTAACAATATATTTTCTTTAGCCTAACATAGTCAAAATGTTATTTCAACAGGTAATCAATATAAAATTATTAATGAGACATTTCACATTCTTTTTTCATATCCAGTCTTTGGAATCCATGTATATTTTACACAGATGGCTTATGTCACTTGGGACTTGCTGTATTTCAAGTGCTCGGTAGCCGAGTGTACTACTGAGTTCTGCCCTAGCCATCGTGGGTCTGGAAGGATACACCACCCAAACTATTCCCATTGGTCACGACTAAAAGACACGACAAATGGAGATGGTGGAGGGTGTGAACAAGAATTCTGAATTTTCTTAAACTCTTTTTGCTGTACTCTGAATTGCTCACATCAATCATGTATTTTGTATTAACTTTGTAATTCCTTTTAAAAGCTACTAAAAGTAAAAAAAAAAAAAAAAAAGCCTCTCAGGTGACGGTGAAGATGGCGAGAGATCATGTGAACCTGCAGATATTAAAGCACCGTCCAAATGTGTTTGCTTATGAATGCCCTTCCTTCTGCCAGAGCATTCAAGGTAGCTCACAGGATACACAAAATACAAGAGTAACAAAAGTTAAAAGGAGAAGCAAAAAGAAAGAAAGAAAAACAAAGGTGGGGCCTGCAGGGAGGCTGGAATGAGGCAGGGAGGAAGCATACACTCCTGGCCTGCTCACCTGGTCACCTGCGGGGCCACAGGCTGAGACTCTCAGCAGCCTCCGCCCCCTCCTACCTCCCCTCTTCCAGCCCCCTTAATTCCCAACACCTCACACTCTGGCCCCCCCTGGCTCCCCACTCCTAGTTAATTCTAGCCTCTGGCTTTCGCTCACACTGTTTTCTGTTTCCCCCTCCCTTGCTCTCCCCGCTTGATCTACCCACCTGCACCCCTCCTGCTCCACAGCGCCTCCCCCTGGCGCGCCGGCCTTTCACAGTCTCGCCGCTCCCCGAGCTCTCTGTCCACAGCCATCCCACCACACTGAGTAACTCTTGATTACGTGCTGTCACGTGTGGCTTTTCCACTCCAGTGAGCATTTTCTGAGCAGCGCTGTGTATCAGGCACTGTGGGAAGTTCAGCCCTGCCAAAGATGGCGTCCTATTCTGCCCTCAAGGAGCGATTCATTTGCTCAGTAGCCGAGTTCCATGAGGCACCCAGTCTTCCTTCAAAGTCCTCCCAGGACCCTCTGTTTGACGCACTAGGGTCCTCCCCACTCCCTTCACTCGCTACACCCCCCTGCAGCTGAGGTTTTTGCCTGCCTTCTTCCTTCCTTCCTTGGGACCCAGGAAAACTAAGCCCCTGCCTAGCTCCTTCAAGACAGAGGCAGAAGCTCCTCTGTGTCCTCAGGACTGAAGACTGAGGCAGGACCTGTTTCCTTCATGGCCTCGATGAAAATGTGGGCAGAACGCGGAGGTTTGGCCTTGTTCCCTTTGCCTTAAAATCCAGCCCTGCAGACAATGCACCAGCCTTCTTTAGCTAGGCCCCTTGCAGGGCATACAAGAGCGAACCGGGTGAGTTGGCAGTGGCCCGAACCTGTTGAGATGAGGGTGGAGTAGCAAGCTACCCCTTATGCCTCATTCATTCCTTTTGGTCCTTCCACATTAGTAATAGCCATAATGCTAACTGAAACAATAATAATAATATGGGTAACATGCACAGAGCTTTACTGTGTGCCACCGTTAAAACACTCCATATGGCTTATCTCACTTAATGCTCACAGCAGCCTTATGAGCTACGCATTATTTTTATCTCCATTTCACAGATAAGGAAGCCAAGTTTTCTCCCCACGGTGAGGATGGATAGGGATTATTAAACAACTGAAGGTAGGAAGGAGAGAGGAGCAAGGACGACAAGGACTTCCAGAAACACCCCCTTTCTCTCCCCACCACTTCTTTTTTCCTAGGTCTCTTCCTTCCCCGCTCTAGAATAAATGAAATGTAGCAGAAATAAGCAAGAATAAAGTAAAAATAAATAGAAGGAACTAAAGGCCCATCCTCAGTTCCACAGTGACGCCCCCTACCCCCTGCCTACCAAGGCACCAGCTGCAGGGGACAAGCCAGCTAAAGTGAAGAAAGGAGGGGCCCATTCTGTTTCTATAGCAACCAACTTACTAGGTCTGCCAAAAGACCAGAGTCCAAATCCCCTCCACCAGTTGGGTGGTACAGTGGTGTCCCCTTTCCCAGCCTGCCCAGAGCAGTTGGCATGCACCACTCCCAAAGCCCCCCTGAACCTCTCTCCCAGGGAAGCCCATTCTTTTACCTGGCCTGAAGCAGGTTAACTCCTCCCCCAGCTCAGCCCCGGGTCTCCCAGGCTGCCAGCTCTTCCATGCTTCCCTGACCCTTCTGCTATCCTCCCCCTGGCTGCAAGAGGGGAAAGCTTCCCAAGTTTTGCTGAGTGGGGTCTACAGCACTGTGGCCATTCAAGTGTAGATTGGAGCCTCCCAAACCCATGCCTGGACTCCTCATTACCACTCCTCCAGGTGTCTTATCCCAGCCCCCAGGTTATCCTGGGTAGCAGTTCCCCCAAAAGGAGAGCCCTGTAGAATGCTGTCCCTAGGCAGTTGCCTCCTCCAGTACAAAGACCTAGACTCCTGCTGCAAAGTTCTGCCCGTACCCTTTAAGGAAACACTCAACCCTTCCCTACCCATTGGCTCTTGCCGTGCCTTCCCAACACCTGCTAGATCTCCAGCGAGCGCAGGACATAACAAGTACTAGGTGGATGAGTCCAAATGTAAGTAATGGGGAGCATTCATTAGCACAGTATATATTTCCACAGGACATAGAACTTAGCCCCAGTCCTCACACGCCCATCGGCAGTGGCCCTTCCCCAAATCCCGTCTTCCTCCCCTCCTCCAGCAAGAGGGTCCCCACACTCTGGCAGGAGGCTGAGCCCAGCTGCCCCAGATGGTGCTCACCTCACCTTACCGTCTAGGTGCCCTCAGGGGCTGCTAGCTTGTGTGGTTCCTCCCGTGAGAAACAGAGAGGTTCAGCCAGACCCAGTTGCCCGGCCAGCAGACAAGTGGAGGTGGGCGGGGATCTGGGCAGGAGTGGCCTGGCGCTTCCTGGCAAAGAATCCTGCCTCTCAGCCCCCCTAAAGACGGGTAGGGGAGAGTGTCCCCATCTGTTGGCAAAGTCCAGCCGAGACAAGGGAGTGGCTGAGGATCCCAAAAGTCAGTGAACGTGCCAGTCTAGGTCTGGAAAGGAGGAAAGGGGGAGGGAGACAACCTAGGTGCAATTGCTGCACCTCGAAACCCCTCCCAGCCATGCCTCCAAAAGGAGAAAGAACCCCTCCCTACAGCGCCCTCTGCTGGTGCCTGGCTGTCCCCAGCCAGTGGCTATTATTAAAGTGGCGGAAGACAAGAAGAGAACCTTAACCAGAGATTCTTAAGCTATAATGCACACAAGAATGACCTGGGGACCTTGTTAAAATGCAGGGTGTGATTCTGTAGGTCTGGGTAGGGGCCGAGATGCTGCAGCTCTAAGAAGCTCCCCAGTGATGCCAGTGCAGCTGGTCCAGGGAGCTTAGCCAGGGTCCAGTCCCACCCCCTTCCTGCGACTCGCAAGGTGCTGGTGCCTTTGGGATGTCCCTGTATCTTCTCCCCATTCAGCGCTCTTTCCACTCCCACACTCAGAATTGGAAGGGGCACTGCCCCTTGGGCGAGAGCTGAGCTTGGGGCCATCTGCCATCCTGAGTGCCTAGGAGAGAGAGATGGCACCACTGGATTAAAGAGGGACTCCCCATGGAGAGGGACTTTCTCCATCTGTTTTCTGCTGTCTCCTCAGCGCCTGGTATAGCCTGATACATAGTAGGTGTTCAATAAAGACTTCTTGAATGGAGGAGTGAACCAGCTGAGAGGGAAGAGGGTGCATTTCGGACCCCGACGCCAGCATACAACCCAGGTGAGCCACGTGTTGTCTGTGTAATCCCAGACAAGGTACTTTGACCCACTGGGCCTCAATTCCCTTGTCTGTCAAATGCAGATAAAAATATCCACCTTGTGTGGGATACTAACTGCCATTATTGAGCCAATGAATGTAAAGTGCCCACCACAGAATGGCTGCTGGATAAATGGTGACTATTATCAGCATGGTGTGGCCTCCTGCACTTGAGGAACTTTGGTGAACTCCCCCAGAACCCCCAGAACTTATCATCTCCTTATAGAAAATAAGTAACTTCCTCTGCTTTCATCTCGGTTAATGATTCTCTCACTTCTTGTCCCCGCCTGCAACCCCCTCCCCTCTGCTTCTTCCCTGGCAGGGTGAGAGGGTGGGATAAACCTCCCAGGGGAGCCCAGTTCTCCAGAGTGCTGAGCTGTAGCAGAGGAACAGCGGAGAGCGGGCACCCTGGGCAGGGGCCTCATGCCTAGAGGACCAGCAAGGAAGGGGAGCTCAGAACTTTGATAGGGAATGAAGGGGGGTGGTATTCGTCTTTGTTGGACAAAGCTGAGTCACACAGGAGGCTGGACTTTGCCAACAGACAGGGACACCCTCCCCTACCCCTCTCTAGGGCGGCTGGGAGGCGGGATCTGCCGGGAAGCACTGGGCCACTCCTGCCCGATGCCCCGCCCACCTCCACTTGTCGTGGGCTGCCTTCTCTGAGTCACGAAGTCCTAGGGGTTTGTGAAAGGTCTGTCAAGCTGGAGTCCAAGTCATGCCAACCAGGAGGCTGGAACCAGGGGCTGTGTTCACGGATCATGAACTCACTTCCAAGGCCGGCGCTTGCCTCACCTGGCAACAATCCCAGTTACAGGAAGGCTCTGGAGGAATCTGAGGGCCCTTACACACGGACACAGAGCTGTTCACAGGATGCAGAGGCCACAGGCATCATTAGCATCGTAGTCTGCACCTACCTCCCTGAGCTGTCACTGCAGGCCCGGGTCTCACAGTGTCAAACCCTCACCACAATCCCTCAAACATTCCATCGAGGGCTACCCTCCAGAGGCCAGGCACCCAGAAGGGTCTGGCAGACCAGGAAGACCCCTGCTGAGAGGAACCCTTTGGGGCCACACAAGCCAGTGTCACCCCCGTTGTCACTATCTGAGAAAGGCAGACCAGCTGGGAACCCCGCTCCACCCTTCTGCCCACCCCCACCCTCCCCTGCCTTCCACACATCACATATGATCAGGCACCCGGCCTGGGAGGTGTGCTGCCCGAGGTAAGGAGAGGACAGGCCTGGGAGCAGGAGGCACTGGGAATGGTGGACAACAGGAGAAGAGAGGATGGCGTGGGGAGGGATGGAGACGGGGCCTCCCACACTGGACAGAAACAGAAAATCAGAGCTAGGCAGGCAGGTGAGAAAATGGACCATGAGGAGCAGAGAATGACAAGTGGTATGCTGGTCAGCCCTGTCCCAGGACCCTCCAGGACCAGTGTCCCTGACCCTTGACAGAAAAAGATAGATTAGGCAATCAGTCCAGAACACCGAAAATTATCAGATTTTTCCCCTTTCGAATCCCATCAATCATGGCGGGGAGGCTGAAATATCATGAGCAAATGAGAAGAATGATATTGGGCAGGGGCCTTGGCTGGAGGAGGGCCTATACATTTACGCTGTCTCTCATGCAAATGACATGCAAAGCAACATGCAAATGAGGCCGGCTGCTTATTAATCTAAGACCAGGTAGTTGTTTCCTTGAGAAATCAGGCCACAAGAAATCCGGCCACTTGTGTTTGTAGCCTGACCCTATAGAAATGGAGAGACGTAGGGGCAGCCTCATTCCCCAAGACTCCAGGGGTAGAAGTGAGGGAAGGCTTCAGAGAAAGGCTTCCAGGGTAAGTAGGCTGAATTTGAATTTGGGCAGGAGATCAGCCTGGGTGGGTCCCTGAGTGCTCCAGTCTGGTCTTGTGAGATAAGCGTGGGGCAGGTGGGCTGGCCCATTCGTGTCTAGCCCCAGGACTCTCGGCACCCTCCTTTCAGGTTGGTTCGGTAAGACACTGTCCTCGTCAAGGGCCTGCTATGCACCTGGCCAAGTGTTGCCCACTGTGGGAGGTAAAAAAGGTGGTTACACGTGGATTTGACCGCTGGGAGTCAGGTACACATGGAAGGAAACCTACTGAGAAGCAGTTACCCATGTGGGACAGTATCCTCCAAGTGCCAAATGAGTGGTGTGGAGAAAACAAATCTATGGAAGCCAGAAAGTGGGCAAGGCGGTGAGGGCTGGGTGGAGATGGCTCAGAGGAGCAGGACTGGATACAGGCCCGGGGATGGCAGGGGAGGGCCTCTATAACTAGGCCTCCTGGGAGGGGCCCAGCCAGGTTAGATTAGGAGGTGGAGACAGATAAGGAGACGCAGGGAAAGGACTGGGGGAAGGTTCATATTAGTATGTTTCTGACTCCCCAGATTTTGCTTCAAAGTGAATGCGGCTTCAAGGAGCCATCTTTGTGGTCCTTCCTCACCTGGGGCCCATCCTGGTCTGGCTGTTCACTAATAATCAGATGTTCGGTTGGTGTAAGGGCCCAAGGATGCTGTCCTGGTGCCTGCCCCACAAAGTCTTATTGCTTATATGGACAACCACCCACTCTGTCATGGGGTGAGCACTCGTTTATCACACACGGCCCTGGTACTTGCTGGGGTGGGAACAAGTCCTCCATACTTGAGCTACTGCCATATACTGGTCTCCAAGGAGAAGGCATTCCTTCGTGCCTCTTATGGTGGGCCCCACAGACAGAGACCCTGTGTACCTGCCTGGGATGCCAGCTAGCCCTTCTCCCACCCTCTCCAAGCCTCCCTGTCCCCTCACCCACCTCACTGTGCCCAACTCTTCCCACCAACTCCCCTGGCCCTCAAATGATGCCAAGACCCACTTGCCCACATTTCAGCCCACAAGGGTAACCAACAGCCCTTATGCCAGAGTGCTGCCTCCATTTGCCATGGAACCCCTCTTGCTGAGTGTTTTGCCACCGTCTCTCCGCAGCTATGCCTCCTACCTGGTGTGGAATGACTTGGGAGGGGGCTTTGGGCGGCCCCTGGCCCTGCCTCTCGGCCTCTACGCTGTACAGCTCACCATCAGCTGGATGGTCCTCGTTCTCTTTTTCACAGCCCACAGCGCTGGTCTGGTAAGGCGCACGGTGCTCAGTGGTGGATGTAGGGTAGGAGAAGGTGAAAGCACTAGGCCCTAGAAGCATAATTCAGCAGATCAGCCAGGTAACAGGTGGGCAGACTTCTCTGAGCTCCCATTGTGTGCACAGAGCTCCGGGAACTTAGCTCATTCATTGCTGTGCCAGGATGCTGCAGAAAGGTGGAGGGGCCAGTTCCCAGGACAGCCGACTGAAAAACTTGCCTCTCTGCCCAGGTCCTGCTGCACCTGCTGCTGCTGTACGGGCTGGTGGTGAGCACAGCACTGATCTGGCACCCCATCAACAAGCTGGCCTCCCTGCTACTGCTGCCCTACCTGGCCTGGCTCACCGTGACCACTGCCATCACCTACCACCTGTGGAAGGACAGCCTTTATCCAGAGCACCAGCCTCAGCCCACAGGGGAGGCGAGTGACTGAGGCCCTGGGCCAGGGGAGAGGAGGGTGGGGAGATGAGTCTGTAGCCAGGACTGTGCAGCTAGGGCTCAACCCAGTGTGGCCACCCTCCTGGGTCTCCTGGTGCCATTTTTTCTTAGAATCCAGAGAAATGGGAATGGGGGGGGGAGCTTATTTTACACTTAAATAATAAAATCCTATTAGTCACTTTGAGGGTATGATGTGAAATGTATATTTGAGTGTATGATACCCAGGGCCACAGAGGGGGAATAGAAGCTTCTGTACCTGTGCGTGAGTGTGTGCACGTGAATGAACATGTGAAGGCACACTCGGGAGGGGTGGGTGCACCGTGTCACTCCGCCTGCATGCCCTCCCAACCTGGCATGAAGATTTGGCAATTCAGTTTTAATTACTTGAAAGACAAACTCTCTTTGAAAAGAGACATAAAAGCAAAACAGGAAAATAAAGTAAAAAAGGATACTAATTATACATGTTAAGGTTATTAGAATATGTATTAATTTTTATCAGATTTATTATGGAATACATAGTAATGACATATAAAAGAGTTATATGATATATATGTCATGCTAAGACCTTACGTGATTATCTCTGATAAAATTATAGAGGTTTTTATTGTTTTCATACACTCTTACCCTTTCAGTTTTTTACATCAATTAATTACTATTACAATAAGAAAAAATATTGGGAAAAAAGGTCTGTAAGCCTCAGGCTGCTAACAGGTGAATTCAGAGAAGCTTCTTATCCAACCTTCTATCTCGCTTCTCTTTTTCTAAATCTTCTAAGTGACTTTTAAATACCTGTCTCCCCCCTCATCTTATTTTCTTCTGCTCTTGTTTCAAAGCCCTGAGGGTGGCAAAGAGTGGCCGCCCAGGGGAGGCCTCCCTACATAGTGCCGGCAGGAAGGCCCAGAAGCCCTGCAGGAGGGTGTCTCCAGCGGTTGCATGGCGGATCATGGGGAGCTTTTAAAAGTAAGAACCAGATGCTCCAGGGACGAGGCCCAGGCATCAGTGATTTTTAAACGCCCTAGGACCTCCTCAGGTGCAGCTGAGAGCCACACCTGAGTATTTGAAGCTTTTTTAAAAAATGCATATGCCTGACCCCTCACACAAGACCTACGAATCAGTACTTTCGAGGTGGGCTCCTGGCATCTTTGGAGCTCTTTAAAGCTCCCCAGCACTTTGTCAGCTGCTCGCTGAAGCCTGAGTGCCCAGGGCCCTTTGAGCTTTGACAATTTGTGGTTCTGTGAGCTGAGTTTCAGGGCTGAAACAAACTGTGTCCTCTCAGGTGCAAAGCCAGCAGGGCGGCGGCGTCGTTTAAGAAGGGGAGTGGCTCTTTCCAGAGCTCATCCCAGGAAAGGGAATATGCAGCCTCGCCCCCTTCACTAAGGGCATGCAACGCCCAGCTGGGCAGGTCACCTGCACCCCCGGAGGGCACACATGGTGTCCCAGTCATCTTTGTATCTCCAGCCCCAGGGCAGGGCAGGGCAGAGCAGGATACAGAGTAGGTATTAATACATTTTTGTTGATTCATTTATTGAATAAATAAATGAACACACTGTCATACTTTATGACACCTCCCCTGCTTGGACAAACTGAAGAGGAACAGTTTGGGAAACTTCTCCTGGTTCTATTGTGCAGCCAGGTTGAGAACTACTGCAGTAGGGCACTCCTTCTCAAAGTGTGCTCTAGTGACCTGGTTGAAGGTATGGACTCCAGCCCCGTTACAGACCCATGAATCAGGTCATCTTAGGGAATGAGGGCAATAGGGTACAGTGGTTTGCAGTTCTGGTCCTGAAGTCAGATGAACTCAGGTTCATCTGTTCATACTGATGCTGTCATTTATTAACTAGTAAATTGGTGCAACTTACTTTTATCTATAAATACTGACTGACAGAGGATGGGCTTGGGCAGCCACCCTGCATGAGTTCTTATCCCAGCTCCACTATCACTGTGTGACAAGTGAGCACCCCAATGATGATTTGCCATTATCATTATCAGCATCTCATATAGGCATTATAATATTTGCTACCAATTTTATTCACATTACCAGATAAATCTGGAAGTTAAACGAACCTCCAAGAAGATGTACCATGCCTACGGCATGACTTTGACCTCCCCAGGGAAAGCTGAAGCCGCTAACCCAGGGGGCTAGGTGCCTTTATCTTAGAACTTGGCTTTAGAAGAAAGCTTAATTTGGCCAGTGTCCTAAGCCCTGGGCTGGCATGACTGCCTGTTATGGCATGAGCCAAACTAAAGGGCTTTTTGGCCTTGTGCAGAAACTCAGCTTGCAAGGGCAGGATCCCAACCTCAAATTCTTATCTTCTGACCCCAAAGTTGTCCTTAAAATCTCCATCTGCACCAGCTCTTTGGTTTCTGGGCAAGGAGAGCCTCTAATCCCACAGTCCCCCAACCTGCATGAACCTCTTGTCTTTCCCCTACCCCATTTCCCAGTTCTGAGCCTGGCCCACAGCACACGTTGCCTTCGGCCCCCCTTTTTTTTTTTTTTTTTACCTAGAGTCATACCTAAGTAAAGTGGGAGCAGCCCCTGTGTATGCCAGATGAATTCCAGGATTCCACCACCCAAATCATGTGTGCGTGCTTCTTTGTACTCAGGCAGTATTTTTCCATTTGCCTGAGTGGATACTCAGTGTCTGAATATTATTCCCACATGAAGTCTTCACAGAACTGTGCAGATCTCCCATCCAGTGGCTGGTGAGAGAGAGGTAAAACAGCAAACCCAGTAGGTAGTAGATCTCATCTTATTGTATCCTAGTCCCCTCTTTCGTCCGCTACACCTTCGCTCTTCCTCACGTTGCCAATTTCTGCAGAATGGAGACACGGAGGGGCGAGGTGAGGTGGCAGGCTGAGAGGTGTGTGCCCAGAGGACAAAGGTTGGCCGGCTGGGCTGAGACGGGGACAGAGTGCACAAAGTGTTTGTGCTGTGCATCTTTGGGCCCTCCTACCTACAGGCAGGTAGAGCTGATGCATAGGGGAAACTGAAGAGCTGACCTCCTGAATGTTGTCAGGCCTGGGCCAGGGCTCCCAAGTCTCTTTGTTTCCGTTGTGGATGGCCGCCATCCAGTCTATCTTTTGGGGTTCCCCTCCACCCCAAGCCCAGTTTCAGAATCTTCCCAGGGTTCCCGTTTCTTAAAATTCCAGAAAACAAGCACAAGACCCTTTTGTTTTGAGGATTTTACTGCTGACCCTCAGTAGCTCACAGGTTAGTCCAAAGCCTGACTTTGTTGGGGACTTTCTCAGATCTTAACCTTCCTCTTTTAGTTTCAGGTAGAGCCCACCAAAACATTTCTCCCTCCCAGACTCTTTCTACCCTCTAGCTTCCAAGGCCCTTCATAGACTTAGCCCCCTCTTCTAGTGTACAAGCCAGGAGAAGCCATCCTGGTCACCCAGGACCTCCACTGTGTCCATCTAAGGCCTCATTGTCCCTCTCCAAGGTCCCCTGGCCCACACAGAAATTATCCTCCTGGAAGCACCAGAACCACCCACTCCCGCCCCAGTTCCGCCTGCACCTGCTCCAATACATTTCTCATCTTAAGGGCTGAAATCCTCCCCTCAAAAGTTGATTGCATTAATAGTTTATTGCTTTCTCCCAGTAGGTTCTTGGGCCTTGCAAACACCCCTGCAAAGAGGAATACTATTAATCACCTTAATGTGCATGATTCTTATCAGATCACTTTCCTTAAAGACTGAGAGTGCCAGCTGCAGGAGTCGGGCAGTGCCACAGCAGCGGGGCAGTGCCAGGAGTGGCTGCTGGGATGGAGGACTGCAGTGACCAGGACTAAAGTTCCGGGTGTCACCATTTTGCCCAGGGCAGTGTGTCCTGCATGGCAAGGCAAGCGCTGTGTCCTGCACAGAAGAAGACTGAAAACCCTAGCCTGCCCTGTGATTCTGGTGCCTTCTCTAATCCCAGCCTCAGACTCTGGGAGACCCTTGGCCCCCTTGCCCTTTCACCAGCTAAGGCCGCTCAAAGCCCTGGACACCCCGTGTTTATGTCAACAGAGTGGTTGCCAGAGACGGCGGGCGGAGGCTGCCAGGGGGGTGTCTGGTGCCCGAGGCCTGTTGTTTGTGTACCCTGTCTCAGTAGTGACCAGAGGGGCAGGCACGCCTGGGCTGGGTCTCTGGGGCAACGTGGTGTTGGAGTCCCAGCTGTCCCTGTACGTAAAGCACCCACTCCATCAACGTGCCCCTGAGGTATCTTCTTTCAGAGTGAGAATTTAAACTTTCCTCTGGTGAGGCTTCTATTTCCACCGGCTCTCTCCTGGCCTCTCTGCTCCCTTCCCAGTGAGGGCAGCTCCACAGCCCACCAAGACCCAAGGAACAACCAACGTGCCTGACCCTGTCCTCTCCTCCTCAGCCACCTCCTAGAATCTCAGAATGTTTTCTGAAATGACCATGGGAGATGGGACCATGGGAGATGGGGAGGCAGGCCGCAGCATATCCTAGGCCTATCCCAGCTCCTTCCAGTCACTGCCACCCTGATAGGAAGGGACAGAGGCCTGCAGAGACAGGCTGGGAGAATTCTGTTTTCAGTTTCCATCCCCACTCACCAGCTGTCTGGTGTATCTATACTGCACTCCCAACATGCGCACCCCTCTTGTAGACCAATTACTTCCCAGGCCTGTTCTCCCTGCAAAAACTCCTGAGCCTCCTCAGCTTCTGCTAGTCCCTTCCTTTCCCCTCTTCCCTCAGAGCCTGGCCTCAGGGGTCCTGGCAGGGACTGAATGGTGAAGGGGTTAACTGCACGACTCTGGAAGCAAATGGCTCTGTCCTCACTGTCCTTATCACCCTGGGCAAGTCACTTAACCTCTCTGGTCCTAATTTCCTCACCCGTAAAATGAGAGTAATACTTCCTGTCCCAGAAATCCTTGTGAGGAGTAAATGAATTAATTTACATGGCATGCTTAGGCCAATGTCAGGCCCGCAGCAGAGGCTGTGTTAATGTCAGCTCTCCTTGTTACTGAATTCCAGGCAGCAGAACACAGTCAGAAAAGCATGGAACTTGAAGGCCGACAGATCTGGGTTCAAAACCTAGCACTCCACTGGCTCCTTGTGTGACCTTGAACGAAATACCTTACTGCCCGGTTTCCTCCTGTGCAGGAGGGGCCTGCTACAGGGTTAACAGAGGGGATGGGGTATGCTGGCCCTGAAAAGTGTAGAGGCAGCTGTAGGGGGAGG